ACCTGCCAAGGTTTTTTTTCCCCTCAAGGATTTGCTTACTGAAAGCCCCGTGCCAGGAACCAGCCCCCTACAAAATCGCCCTCTAGGACATAAAGCAGGAAGCTTTTTAAAGAAAAAAACGAAGCCTGGGGTCCTCAAGCAGCTGGTCCTCAAGAGTCATGCGGGAAATGTAATTCAAACTCTGGGTTTCATAGCAGATGTATCCTGACAAACAGGAAAAATTAACCAGAAGAAAACAAATCAAGCATTTACCTCGAGTGACCTCTCTGGGTTGGCAATTACGCTCCCCTTTTGTTGTTGTTGTTGTTTTAATTGCCACAAAAACGCTCTGGCTGCCCAGTACCGCTCATCCCCTGAGATTCGGACAACTCGAGCCTTGGGCTGCCCATCCCTTCCCTCCCCTCCCCTCCCGGGACGTTTCCCACAGTGTCTTTTGGGGTGAATCACCAGGTGTTTGCTCATTCCAGCTGCATCCTTCACATCTCTTAAGGCTGCTCCAAGAACAAGCACGCGTGAGAAAGTGTGCCCAAGCAGTGACTCAAGGGCTGCGGGGATGTTAAAAAAACCAAACAACAACCACCTTTCCAAAATTATGCAACACACACAAAAAAATAGTTAATTTTGTGCAACACTCACTTCTGAAGTAGCTGCATCTTTTTTTAACCTCCAGCCTGTTAAACTCCAGGCAAGGCAGAAAATACCTGGAATGGGAGCGACGCTTCCGCATCTGCGGAGAAGTCCGCGATGAGAAATCACCCCACGTGGCTGCCAAAGGCGCTTCTCACCCGACACCCTGCGCTCTTTCCAGAAGAAACAAGTTACCCTCACGCAGCCTCATTTCCTTCTGATTTAACTGTGGTCTCCTCTTAAGCTGCTTGGTTTTTAGTGCACCTTGCAACTGAAACACTGCCTCCAACAGCACCAGAAATCATCCAACATTTGAAGGAAACACCCAAGCAGGCAGCTTTGTTTGTACCCTTGTTCGAACTGTACCTCCCTATTTGTGGTATCACACCTATCCAGCATTAAAATATCCCCACAAGGCTTCAGAACTAACGCCACACGGAGCCAAAGGGAAGTATCCGTACCTCAGGGCTGCTCTTCCAAGAAGTTTGAATATGTAAGATCTCTATTAATGTAGATTTTATACACCACTTATCTGCAGCAGAGCTGTAAGGACCAGATAGGGTTTTGTTTTGCCACCTTCGGGGATGTTAATTACCGAGCAAGACGCAAACGAAGCACAATCACAGCCATGTTAGACACAGGGTGCTGGTGACGGAGAGGAAGGTCGATGGAGCGCTCAGAAGTGGTGTGAGCGAGCGGCTCTGTCGTGAGGGTTTGGGAGTTTCACTCTTTAAAACTACAGAAGAGGCCGACAGGCTCAACTCCGTACCATTATTAGCAACGCAAGCGCCCCGATGGCTGTAGCTGTTTGTCTGGTATTTTGGAGAAGTTGAATTTTGGAGTTTGAGGGGAAAACAACAGGTGAGGCTAAAACAAAGCAAAGAGCGGCTGGAATATGAGTCCATGCTCCCATATTAAAAAAGAAATAAATAAAAAATGCACTCTCACTACAGCTATTTGTACCTTTGATTAGTCGATACCACTGTTTGCAGACAAGGGCGGCAGTTTTGTGTTCCTGATAGGGCGAAAGGAAGGAGAGGATATATTCCAAAACCTCTTCTGGGAGCTCCAACATCGATCTGTTATGCCTGGTCTCCTCGACCTCCAGCTCAGCGTGCGGCTCCTCGTCTTGCTCCATCGTCCCTTCGACCGCGGCGTCTTCTGGATCCACGGCCATGAAACCATCATCTTCACTGTCCGAGGAACTGGCCATGGCATTCCACTTCACAGCTTCCAGGGAGGGGAAAAAAAAAAGACAACAGTGAGGGCACAAAGAAAACGAACGGCATCAGAAATGCAACTGCAAGCCATGTACCTTAGACCAGAGGTCTCTATGTTTGTCCAGGTATTTGTTAAATACTTACACACGGTTCTTGCTGGCAGTAGGTGAGGAAAGGAAAAACCCCACAGGATTTACTGCTGCTGAAAGGCTGGAACATCAAATAGTGTATGTCTGGCTACTCGGGACATCTTAAGTATAAGGTAACCTACCGCTGACAGAAATACGTCACGAAATAAATCCACCTTAACGAGCGGCTGCGTCCAGTTTGGCCAGTTGGCACGGCGCGTAGTTAAACCCACGCCCGGGGCTGCAAACCAACCCCCTGGGCTCTCTTTTCCAGGAAGCAGCCGACCTGTTTTGGGGAGAGTGGCGACAGTTTTCCCTTCCAGCGCCACCGGCTGAAGAGCAAAGGATGCAACTGCTCTGTGGTTCTACCACCAAGAGGAAGACGCAGGGGCTTTCCTTTCCCAAAATCACCACTACAAACTCCCTTTTCATCCTTTCAAGGCTGTAACGAAGGATCCAAACTCAGAGCTCTTGCGTTGCTCAGTGGGTTTCTCCTGACACCGCGAGGCGGAGGTGGCTCAGCCATCCCCAGTGGATTGGGACAACGGGAGGGGGATCACCACGGCCCACGGGACAAACCCCACCTGCAGTGAGCCCAGGAAGCAAACCTGCTCCTTGAGAGCGAAGAAAAGACACGGCTTTTTGCCCAACATACCTAAATACAAGTCTACAGTACCTCATTTTTACCAAACTCTTCATATGGCAGAAAATATGGCTAGAAGGAATTTAAGCTACCTAGCTATCAGGAATAAAATCAGCTGTTACCAGCCTCCAGCGACGCAAACTCCAGCGCCTTTCCCAGCTAAACCCAAGGTTTTCCCATCCCAGCCTATACTGAGCCACGGGAATAACAGACAGCGAAGACGTGGAGCGAAAAGCTTGCCATGACGGCTAATTTATGCTCAGAAAAATTACAGCATTACTCTTCACTTTTGTCAGGTTCCCTGATGAAGCAGCTTCAGAGAAATCCGCAGGGCTGTCAATCTTCGCTAGAAACCACGTCAAAATTCAACTCACAGTTATCCCAGCAGATGCTCAGCACGTTTTCCCACGTCAGAAATCCTTCTCAGAGTCAATGTTGTGACAGAGAAAGGCTGGAAACCCAAACGCTTTGACACAAGCGCTGCCGCGGCTGCCAGCGAATTGCATTACGCAGCAGATAACACACAAATTCCCAAAGATTAAGAAATAGAAAACTAAAAAAAAAAATAAAGCAGAGCTGGACAAAAAAAATGTAATTAAAAAAAAAGATAAATCCAGAGAGTTGGGGCTCTTCCAAGCAAAAGCATCTACCGTCACGAAGCGCAAGCGCTGATTTCCATCTCGACAGGGCAGGGAGCCAAAGGCTGCCGGGACTCCACCCTCGCTCGAGCCGGGGAGGTTGGAGGAAGAAGGGTCCGTCCCTGTCTCGGGGCTTGCACACCCAACCAGGAGGAGCAGGAGGTGTTTCACACCCTAAAAAACGAGCTAGAAAAACCAAACGCAAGTGCATTTGCATCCAGAGCAGGTACGACGGGACCCGGGGGTGACAACGCCGAACATAAGCCTCGGCTCGACAGGTTCGCACAAGACATCTGTCGTGTTATTAAGGTTGAGAAGCGAAGATTACGTGTGTTTCCCAACAGCTTTTATTTACCCTTGAAATAATGTCCAAAACCTGCTGGAGGAAGTCGGCTGAGACGGGAAGAAATGAACGCCCAGCTAGCACAGAGGATTTTTTTTTTTTCCCCCCAACTACCAAATCCCAATTTCGATCCTCTGGAGCAGGCTTGGGAACGAGACAACACCGCGAAGTTAATCACAGGCGCAAAACGGCTCGGGGGTTAGAAAAGCAGCTCAGAGGCCCATTTGAAACAGGCAGGAGGAGCAGGGAAACCCCTTGACGCCTCGAACAGCACACGTTTGCATAGATCTGGGGGTAGAGAAGCTGTGTGGAGTTTTGTTTGGTCCTATCAGACCACTTAACGTTATAAATATTCAAACACGTCTACTTTGCCGGGATCCTCGTTCTCTAAAATGTTTTGAGCCTAAGAATTAACCAGCTTCCCAGTCTTCACACCCACGCTGGGTTATTTTTCTTAAGGAAAACAAGACCAGCAATAAACTCAACTCCCAGAACGCAGTCGCCGTCAAAATAACCCTTCGAGCTTGCCCTGCCACGGATGCAATTTTGCTCTTACGGCCCGGGCTGGGAATAACCATCCCCAGGCTGCAAAGCAGCAAAAGCCCTGTCCTATAACCCTGCTCCAGCATCAAAAAAAGGAAAAAGAAACCCAGCCAGTTGGTAAAAGAGAGTTAAAGCATCCCAGCCAGCTCCCATTACCAATTACCGAGCAGATCGCAGTGTTTTTGCTAATTATTTGAAGAGCAGAACGGGGCCTTTCTGTACCGTTTAGGGCGGACGCCGAAGGTGCCTTCTTGCCCATCCTGACCCTCCAGGTGCTCTCTGCTGGCACCAAGCTGGGCTTCGCTTGGTCCGTGGGCTAAAATGAACCTCCGAGGGCTCCCAAAGCCGCAGTGAAGGGATTTAAACAGTCGCATCTTGTCCAAAAGTACAGGCAATACAATTAACTCGCCGGGACGGCTCCAGGAGCCCCGTTCTGCTCGGATCGATCGCCGTGAAGGCCAACACAAGCCCCGTGAAGCATCATTTTGGATTTTGCACCCTACAGCCCTCCTGCTCCCAGAAATATTCCAGCAGCAGAAGCGTTTCACAGCGTTCAGAAATTAGCCCGAAGCCCTACCGAGGAGGAATTGCAGCTGCTTAAAATAACACGTTAAAGAAACGCTAGAAGGGCAATGGAAGCGGAGCTCTGCCAGCTCTGATCAGGTTTGCTTGGCCCTTCCTAAAAGCTGCTTCTCCGCCAGTTGGCAAAACGTTTTATAACTCTTTTCCTCCTCTCAGAGCACTTTTGATTTTTTTTTTTTTTCCCTCTCCTCTGTCCCCTCCTGAAATTATTTCAGGACCTGCTATTTATTCTGCTCGAGTAACTACGCGCTGCAGGGGAAACGAAGGGATGAAAAATAGGAAAACGCAGGCCAGAAAAACCCAGTTGGGTTTGAATTCTTCTCGAAGCCTGGTGGAAATATCGGGCAGCTCCTGCAAAAACCTCTCCTGACCCAAGAAGATTTTCCTACCTGGAGGCATCTCTCCTGGTCCCACGGACCCCAGTTCGCAGGCGTGGGTGGCATCAGTGGTTCCCATCCCGAGCTCGCTCCTCCTCGACTCTCAGCTGGTTTAAGAAGCGCTTGAACCCGCAGGGGTTTTGACCGGGCGCTTTTTTCTTTTTTTTAAAAATATCTTTCTGGAAAGTCAACAGATTTTAGGGGGAGGGAAAAAAAAAAAGCCTCCAAGGGAAAGTCCTTGAATGAAAATAAGAGGCTGTGCAATAGCACTGAGTCAGAGCACGTTACGCATAAGGGAATGCTCATTTTCACATGCCACAGAAAAAAAAACCCTTCTCGCTCCAAATATAATTGCAGGAGCTATGTTCTCACCCCAGGGGAAAAAAAATAAAAATAATAAAGGTGTGGGACTCTGCAGAACAGAACGGTTAATTGCCTTTGGCAATCAGGAGCTACGGCGTTAATTTAGGGGTGGAAGATCGGAACTGCCTCTAACCCCCCTCCAGACTCTTCTTGTTACTTTGCAACTGCTTTTTCTGCTTGTCAACAGCCCAGCAGGGAGACACCTAAACCTTTTAGTCTTATTGTCTTTAAAAAATAAAGAAATCATGCCCATTCCATCAGACGGACACATTAATAATAAATCTTAGTCTGCTCTCCTCAAAAAAAATTAAAATCTGTATTGGGATTATTTTTGCACGTTGTTTTCTTCAAGATTTTGATGGCAGCTTCCCCCTCCCCAGTTGAGATTTCGTTGCTATCGGTTGCTCTAGCGGAGCCCCGAGCCCCTTTCTAGCGGTGCCAGAGATGAAATAAAACACGTTTTTCTAGGTAGAGGCACGCTGGTTTATGAAAGCAACAGCACAGGGAGCAAAAGGTTTGTGAGAGCAACGGAATTGAGGGGAGGGATAAACCCCGTCACCTACGACATCTGCAGACCTGCAAAAGGTGCATTGGTTAGAGCCTGAAAATCGACTGCCAGGCAAGTTCAGTGATGGGAAAAGGGAAAAAAACCCAAAAAAACCAACTAGATTTGAGTCCAAAAAAGAGCAGCAAGTCTCTGGGAAAGCGACCGCGGAGCAATATCCTGACCGCGCCGCCGCAGGAGCATCGCGCCCAGAGGAACCGGCGAGACCTCGGCGACACCTGCCCCACGCTCGGCTTCTTATTCCTGCAAAACAGGCAATTACAAGTTCTTTGAAGCACAGCTTTTTCTTCTCCCTTTTTTTTTTTCCTCCTTTAGCCGCCTTTCATCAGGAAATTGTGTTTTTTTTTTTTCTTTCACATACGACCTAGCTTCACCCACGACAATAAAGGTTTCCTACGTTCCACCTGCGAGTTTGAAAATTCAAATATCTCTCTTCCCGTGTGTTTTGCCTGTTAAACCTGGATTTTTATAGCAACACCAGAGACAAATTCAAAACAATGTGACTTCATTTTACAGTGCCTGCCCCATACTGTAATGAAACAGCCTAATTACAACTGAATTTAAATTTATATTAGTGTAAAAAAAAGAGTTAGAGAGCTATTATAAAATCCCCTCAACCCCAAAGACTCTCAGCTATATCAGATTGCTGCTCATTTTTATTCTAAGCTTTCAGGGGAAAAAAAAAAAAGAGCAGTAACAGAACATTACGCAGCAAGATTTATTGTGCAAACAGCACGGCAACCTAAAAATAAATTCAGCCTAATCTTATCTTTCTCCAAAATTAAAGTCCTGGAAACGAGGAAGATGATTT